ACTGTCAGTATGGAGCTAGAACCAGGACTTTCTGCTTGTTGCTTTGCGACCTCACAGTGACAGAGGTCATCAAGAAATAATCCCAGCGCAACTCCTCATATAGTCACAACTTCTTGTTTTTACATTTCTCTTTGTGAACAGAGGTACAACGCAATAGTCAGTAAGCTTTAAAGGTTCTGGCAGACCAGCCTATTTGTCCACACTTCCAGTCTTCATGCTAAGCTAATGAGGGTGGTATCAGTCTTCTCATCTAACTAACAAAAATGTATAAGCATATTTCCCCAAAACTATTAATATAAGTTATGTTTATATTTATGATTAGAAATGTGAACCTATTTTAAGATACATTATTCATTGTGTTCATTCCAGCACATACATACATTCATTTCCTCACTTTGAAGGAGCTTGCCAACATACTTTACTTTTACATGTATATTTTCAAATACAGCATACGGTTTGTCAGACTATATTTGTAAGATTACATTTTCCTTATGTTTGTCATCTACAACGACACGGGATATTGTGACGATATTGTCTCGGCCAATGAGATTTCAGTTTATAAAAACTATCATTTGCTATCCCATGATACAGGACGAGTGCATAAATGACTCTTCATTCCTTTGATCCTCTTTTCCAATATCCGCAGTGCTAATTGAGGTTCGAGGCGACTGCGTTTGATGACATTACTACAGCAGTCCATTAATAATGCAAAATATTTAAAGATCACCTATTTTTATCTGTGGTTGACAGATTGTGGTAATTATTTTGGACATCTGTTGGGGTTTGGAGTTTATTAAACCTGATTTTGACTCTCCTTGTACTCATTCAGACTGGCCTTAAGCCATCGTTTCTGTTTCAGATGATGAGCCTGTTCTCATCTTTTACACACATTCAGTCAAGGCTCATTTATAGATCATATGGTGGATTGAAGCTCAACAGCTCGAGAGGGGATGCAAGTAGAAGGGTTATCTCTTTTGTCATGGTATTGAAGTTATATTTAATAACTAAGAGACAGCAATCAGGAACTGGTGACTCATTTATCAGTGGATCTCATTACTACATTTGGACATCCTTATATGATAATATGAACAGAAGAGTATTTTCCTTCAAATGTTATACAGTACATTAATTTGCAGTGGTGGAAAATAATTACGTAAATTCACTCAGTACTGTACTTAAGTACAATTTTGAGGTAACTATAATTTACTATTACATGCTACTTTATACCTTCGTTCTTTTGTGAGGCAAATATTGTACTTTTTAACCTGCTACATTTATTTAACAGCTTTAGTTTCTGTACATACAGAAATTTTATATTCAAAATGTAAGATGAGCCCATAAATGTCCTATATTACTTGATACAGACAATGCTATGTTGAAATAAATATTTCAGTTATTATAATTTGTGCAGGATATTTACTTGAAATGAACTATGGATGAGTTTACATTGTGGTATAGCTACTTTTACTAGAAGATCTGCAAACTTCTTCCCCCAACGATCATGTGGCAGGGCATGTCTGCACTTTGATCTACAGATACTGTCTATTCAAAGCTGGTTTGTAGATCTGGTGTCCTACAAAAATGCAGAATAGTAGTTAACCCCTAGTTGCTCCAGAGGTGTGCGACCTCTGACATATGTAACAATTGTAAGTCACTTTGGATAAAAGCGTCAGCTGAATGAATTGATGTAAATGTAATGTAAATATGGCATGATATATTTCTAGTGTGCCACACAACAGCAGATACAGTATTTCAACACTGCTCGTCACATAGTGTTCAATATACAATTAATCAAATGTGTGGTGCATGTCAGTGGACTGACACTATCAGTGGGTAAGATGCACTTGTTTTCTGTCAAGTCAACCAGAAACCTCAGGCTGCAGTGTCTGCAGAACAAATTGTTCAACACCAGCCTCCCATCAAGCCCATAGCCTCTCAGCTGAAGAACCAGCCAGCAGACCCAGGCTGAAAAGACATCAGAGCCAAATCTCTGAGCTAAGCCGCCAGCAGCAGAAGAGGCAAAATGGTTGGGTAATGCAAAAGGACCTTTGACCCAAGCTGAGAAAACTAGATATTCCTTGCTCCAGTGAGCCCAGAACAGCATAGAACAACTAGGCCAACAAGGTCAAGGCCAGCAATGAGATTGATGACCTCTGCCAGCCGACCAAACATGCCTCAATATATATTCTAGAGTCTAGAGTACTGAGACTGAAGACAAGTAGATCCTGCAGACTCAACTTCCTGGCGTCTTGGGGGAAAATCTCATGAAGGAAAATGAGGATGAGTAGCTTTGGTGAGATGCCTGTCTGAGCAGAGAAACAGAGCGACAGATGCTTTGACCCAGGCTGAGAACCAACTGGAAAAGCCACTGTCTCTGGCGGCAGAAGGCGATGTCCTGGCCCCTCAGGGCTTCAGACGAGAGCCAGCACGCCCTGGTAGAGAAGCAGTAAGTGTGGAACTTTAGCAGGAGCTGTTGGGCAGGAGTGTTCATCTGGAGCAGGAGATTGTGAAAAACATGAAGAATCTTGGCTCCAACCAAAAAGAAGGAAAATAACTAGAAGAATAAAGGAACTTGTAGGAGCATATTTAAATTGTGGTTAGTATGTAAATAGACCATAACTGTTTTAGTTTCTCTAATTATCACCAAAGTTCCCCAACCCCTTTCTGACCCATAGAGCCTGATTTTAATTACAGTTTATATTACCAAATGTAACATTTATCAGCTTATTTCCAAAATCCAACTCATTTCTATTTTCTCCCCGACAAAGGTATACATTTTCACCCAATCGTCACCATTTGGTTGTGGCAGTGGGTAAGCAGTAAGATTTTTCCCACTATGCTACACACACATTTAACTGGCTGTAAATGACTGACTCTCATACTTGCAGGTATAATAGATATGGCATATTTTGGTTAGATTATCACTTTTAATTCTCTTTGAATGCACTGGGACTCTGCAAACAACTGGTATGTAAACCAATTACTTAAGAATATTTGCACCATTATGGTCATATTTTCATATATAGGATTTATCCTGACTTCATATATTTTCATATGCATAGATAAAGCATTTTAACCAATGCACACTTTACTGATGTATTTGGAAAAGAGGGCTTGTGATGTCCTGGTGGCTCTACCTGTCTGAAAACTATATTTATCCGCAAAACATGACATTTCAGACAGTTTAATGAGCCACGGTTAGGTAAAAATACACTTTACTGCGCAACAGACTCTCCTGTGGCTCCCACAGCGTCCTCCACTCAGCCTTCCGTTCGGTGGCGCTAGAGCACCACACAAAGTACCACGTGGCATAGAGAGGGCTGATCGAGCTACAGAAGCTCTGGCTTTGCCGCAACTTTGATGTGTTATGAAATGGGAGTTGAGTGCGCACTGCAGGAAAAGAGGAGGTACAGAAGATTACAGTCTTCAGTGCTTCAAACTGTAAAATCACAGACCGTACATGAGCAAAAATAACAGTGTGACGAATGTCTGTCCTCCCACGTGTTGAACGTGTGATGAGCAGTACTGCACATTTTCCCCCCAGTTTATTTTCAAGTTATGTGTTTTGATGTCTCGTATTCTCTTTTCAGGGTGTTTACTGTTAATAAAGTGGGTCATATTTGACCACAAAATGTTCTCATGATGCTACTAAGGATGCATTCACAGTGGAAAAACACCTGTGGCACCAGCAGCTTTTCATTCTCACTCTACTTATGTCCTTTTCTGGCGCGCATTTACGCACGCACAGCGAGCGCTGGAACACCGATACAAATACTCTTTTGGGATCCTTTGGATTCGCTGACTAAATATCACAGATCTAACTGGTCTAATAAGGGGAAATATCTTGATCTGTTTCCCTTGGCTCGTGAATGAAATGAACAATGACTGAAATGCAAGTTACTGCACCTATCAGCCGTCATTCACCACCAAACGTCCAGCATGCATGTTTGTGGAAATATTAAGATTGGTCCTGAAAGCGTATGTTTGCAGATTCCAAACACTCAGATTTGTACTTAATGTTTTACTTTCTTTAATTGGTGCCACACATTACACCTCCCTGTGGGCAGGGTTACATTAAATACAATAGGCATATCAGTACTGTGTGCCGGCAAATGTGGGGAATATGGTTCATAGCTTTTAAGCACCTTACATCATCCTGTTTTGAGGATGAATTTAAAACATATAATAGACATAGTGTAGAAGCAGTGGCATGGGTCAGCACCTCTAACCCAGCTCTCCGTGGGTCTATATTTAGAGGCCTGGTGCGCGTTGAGAGAGACGGCGGAAGAATGGCTTGGAGACAAGAGTAGGTCGCTTACAAATAGGCCACAATAGGCCTCACGATAGACCTTTCTTTTTTTTTATTCACGCTCTCTCAGAATGCGTTAGCCTATAATGGGTTACTTTGGCTGAACGTGCATGAACAGAGCTCGTCAATGCTTATTTTTAGAAACGTTGCCTATATTTGGGCGCGGGGAGCCTGCAGCCAGGCCACTTACAAAGTGTGGGAGTATGAAATGAGGTTCTGATGTCTTGAAACCTGTCAAGCCGCCTGTGAACAATGTCACTTTCCTCACATGTGCGTTTGCAGCCATGACAGGATGGTCCAATTATTGCATCACTGCACAACACCGTGTATAAAGCCTGCGGGCAATTTAAAGCCCAACACGACCTTTTCTCCCCCGGACTGTAACATTGTTCTGGACAGGAAAAAAGGAATTAATATCTCACCTTCACAAGTGACTTTTGTTGCTCTGCATCATAACCTGCTCCAGGCTGTCATCAACTTTAATATTTTCGTTTTTAGACCTGTTGAAATATGCAGTATGTTCCTAATTTGTCATTATGTCAGCTGATGTACAGATGAGCAGAAATGCAATCCTTGGTTGACAACTTGCTTCTATTGTGTGCGCACCGTTAACTCCTCCCTTTTCCCTATGTGGCATGCAAGGTGACACCAGCCAATCACATCTCATTCCGCTTCTGCCTAGCAGGGAAAACGCTAAGAGGAGGCGGAAACACATTTGGGCTGTATATAAGCAGTTAAGCGGGGTTTTTGTATCAGTGTTACCCTCCAATTATTTGCTACCTGGCCGGGCGAAAGCAAGAGCGCACACTGAGCGCACAGGGACCGGAGACCCGTGCTGGTTTGAGGTGTGGACTTGACCGTCAGTGACCGAGAGGGGAAATTCCCTGCCCCTGCAGTTACCTGGCCGGGACAGAAACCCATGCTGCCGGCGCCGCTTGACATAGCGCTGTCCGTCCGCGGTGGTGCTGAACCACGGGACACGACCCTTCAACCTGTGACGCAGAGCTGAAGCTGATCCAAGAGAGAAGACTCCAACTTCTAAAGATAACAAGAACAAAGCTGCACAAACATATATGGATTTGAGGCAAGTCAAAAACAAAGAAGAAACCGAAAGCGCGGAGCAGAAGTGATGGCTGGACTTCCCCCCGCCCCCGGCGTCACTCCGAAGGTCTGAGCACAGCAGCGCGCTGCCGCTTCGTACCGTAACCCAGCGGAGCCTCCGTAGCTGCGGAGAGTGACAGAGGCTTTCGATCAGTGAGGTACGCTCTTGCACAAAGAATTTAGGAAAATACATTTGATAGATTGCTCCCCTAAAAGGCTCTACATGCAGCTACGAAAATGGGCTGTATCAGCTCCAAAGCGCCAGTTGGTAAGAGTTGTTTTAATCTGCTCTCATAAAAGCACGCTGGAGGAAGCCTGGATTTTTCGCATTTGTTTTGCTGCAGCCTTTCGCGGGTGCAGAGGCTGTGGGTAAAATTTGTTGGGTGCTTTATAGTGCACAGCATGCTGTGCCCGAGATGTGAGACATATGATAGCGCTGCTGAGTCATATGCGTATGAATAAGGACCTTCACATATAACTCGTGTTTTAGATAGCCTGAAGTTATGACATTTCAATCTATTAGAGGTGAAATGGTGTGTGTGTGTGTGTGTGTGTGCGTGCGCGCAGGGGTACATTTTAGTGGGGTGGCGGGGAAGAGCTTGAGGGGCTGGTGTCTGCAGCCTAAACATCGCGATGCAACGAGAGTTGCAAGGAGCTTTTTCGGTGAGCACGCCAGTCATAGGCAGAGAAGACTGAGGTGCTCCTGGAACCATTGAGGGATGCGCTGTTAAAGTGCTTTTATATTTATGACGAGAAGACTCATCCAGACACGATGGTTCTGACCGCGCTGACCCAGTTTAGTTGCAAGGTAGGACACCTCTTTGCTCGTATCCTCAACGCATGCGACCGAACAAAATCTTCGGGTTTATATTTTCTAAGAATTTCCGGATGATCTCTTCTTGGTAGAAAAGTAACATAGGCTACATAAATAAGTTCGCAGGCGCATATGTCCAAATTGAAACGGACTCCACGAGTGCTTCTATGCGCACACATTCAGCAATAGATCATCATGCTTGTTGCCAAGAAACAAGCTCCCTGCTGCCACCGCATCTATCCGCTCTCGTGATTGTTTACACCTTTGCTGTACGTGTCTCCCAGACGCTCCGCTGGCGGCTAAATTTCGCCGTGGGCCCCGTCCTCTATGTGCTACCCCGACCTCTGAGCGTGTCCCCCCCCTAGATATCCCCCATCCTGTTATTTATTTGACTGGGTCTCCTCTGTAGTCTCCATAAATCAAACCTGCCCCGCATACATATATCTTTCCATCCATCGCTCTCACACAAACAGAAGTGGTCGCTTTGTCTTTCTTTCTGGTGACGTAAATGTTGTGTGCAATCTTTCAGACTGTGATTTATCCGTCATATCCATGCTCACAGATCCTCTCCCCGCCTCTAATTGGTTGTGTAATCTGTCGCTTCAGTCACTTGATGATTATGGCGCCTTGTCTCCTCGTCGTGGAGTGCGTATGGACATGCCCTAGACCCATAAAAAGCACATAAAGCTGCCGTACGTTTCCGCACATTAATGTGTAATATACAGTGGGCCTAGGTCAATAGCAGCCACCTGTTTGACTCTCACATTTAGCCTGTAGCTTATATGTGTGACATCACACTGCTGCTGGTCCTGACCTAATTGTGTTGATTCGCTCAAAAGTCTCTCAGTGAGCCCGAAAGACGCGAGAGAGAGAGAGAGAGAGAGAGAGAGAGAGAGAGAGAGAGAGACGCACGGCCGAGGTCTCCCTATCTGCAGTTTCCACGACAACGGGAACTACAGAGAGAGACCTGAGTAAAATGAATTGAATAAATAAATAAATAAGAATAACATGAGGACTGCAATACTCATTTGCTTTGAGGGAAGAGGACACACGTTTGGAGCCGCAGCTCAGTTTTAGAGAGATCACAGTAGATCACAAGGAAGGAGATTAATTAAGATAAAAAGACGTCGAACAAATTAACAAATTAGCCACAGTTGGAGGATGAACGCGGGGCCTCACAAGAGTTTCAGTCGTGTTCTCCAAGTGAGAAGGCTTGACTCGGTCCAAGCAATGCACTCTGTTGCGTGTGTTTATTTCCACTGGATTTTGATAGCCTACTATAGCCTACAGCCATGCCACTTAAATTTCATCCCTGGTCTGACTGAGGGTGACTACTGCAAAACCATGGCTACAATGACGTGTCGGACATGTGCATTACATACATGCAACACATTTCTCTAGAAGCGCGCGCAGTGTCGTTTAATTAGGTTACTGTGTGTCGCAGTAATGAGCAACAGACCTGGCCAACACACTCTTCGACTGGTAGGAGGATGATGTGTCGATCCATGCGAAAGGTGAGCATTTTCTGGCCATTAATTGCTGACGTGTCACCATAATACCTCTGGGTTTAGGCAAACAGCGGAGCTGCACAGCCTACATCCACCGGGATCCAATGACTGTCACATTCTGGACACCAATCTGCTATACAAAACACGTGCGCATCCTTCACAATACTTTTTTTGACCAAGGTGGCCTAGATTGAAAGATACAATACATCCCGGGCATCTCACCTTATCACACCCAATTAAACGGCACATATTGAATTCTGCTTGTGGGCAACCTGAGCTCAGCCAGCTAAACGGCAGGTCTATGACCCGGGGGTCAGTGATTGGCCTTGATATTGGACTCAATATTTGAGATGGGTGCTGGCGACTAATCGAGCGAGTCGTTTCTTTTCACAGGCAGTAACTAGAAACGCCTTCCTGCAGTGGAGGGCTGGAAAGAGGAGCCGGGCACTGACATTTAGAGACCCACCTCTTAATCTCGTTTTGCAAATCTGATTTGAAGAGTGGCGAGCAGGCGCAGGATTGCACGTGTGTGTGTGTGTGTGTGTGTGTGTGTGTGTGTGTGTGTGTGTGTGTGTGTGTGTGTGTGTGTGTGTGTGTAGGACCGAGGACGCCTTCAGTACGTGGCGATGGGAGCTGTCCAGGTGCTGAAATGTTCTGCTGCACGTTGCGCTGTAACTGTGCGTGGCTTCATCCATAGGAGCAGGTTTATAACCACCTCTGGTCATGACGAGGGCAGATGGGTTAAACTCTCGTAGGCTAGTCAACCTAATAGCATATCTGAAGGCAATTATGTACAGTGTGCAGCCAGGAGGTTGCTTAGTGACATTTGCGCTCCACGTAGCGCCGCTGTTTGGTTGTGTTGATGACGTGGCCTGGTCACGTCAGAGAATGTGTATTAAACAACAGGGAGGTAAAAACGGCATAATTTCATCACAGGTATGTCCCTTATTCTGTGCTTTTTATGTCTTTATGCTTATTTCCGGCAAAGCAAAACTAACTTCATAAAATATCAAACAGGCTTGGGCTGCTGCCAGGGCCTTACCTGCATGACATGGCATGGCTTTAAAGTGCATGGAAGTAGACCTCCGCGACCCCCCCCCCCCCCCCCCCCCCCCCATGTTATCTCACTATAGTCTTTATAGAGTACGCTGCAATAAAAGGCTCTGTGAACGCTTAGCCCAACACTTAGACTTGTACCATACATAATAAAAAGACGGGTGCTCCAGCCCCATTATGTAATGCTTATAAACACTGCCTGAAAGTGTATGGTACAAGCCTAAAGATGCTTTTTAAGTATTATAGCACCCCGGAATACCGTAATACTAATTATGGTGCTGTAAAAAATATTTGAAAATGAAATCTTTAAACAACATCCTATTGAAATAGTTCTTTATTCAGAATAGTTCTTTATTCAGAATACTTGATTTTTCATATCAGACGGGTTGTCTTTTTCTTCACAGTTGCCTTCCACCCCCCTCTTTTTTATGTGCAGCCTGTGTATCTTTTTACAAGACCTTTAGGAGTTGGCCTGTGAGGCTTACGTTTATTTTAGGGGGCCGGCAATTTATGTAAGTGTTTGAATTTGGTTTTCTTTGGGGGAAACTGCAGTGAGATACAGCAACATTACATTCATGGTCATCGCCCCTCATTGGATGCCCTGGGGTCCGCGTGGAGGCATGGGCTGGCATGGTGATTGCAACGTTGACCGTAAAGCAACACGGAAGGATTAGCCTGATCCTTAAAATTTGAGTTTGTTATTCTTGCTCCAGTAATTAAAGGAATATTATGAACAATAGCGTTTTATTGCCACAGTAAAGTGGATGCGTTGTTGTCATAATATTATTTTTTTTCTTTATTGACTTTTTCATTCATTTTGGAGCGAGAATATCGTGTGGAGCTACTATTATTTTTTTAGATTGCTCATTTGCTATAATCTTTGCTTATAATCACGTGGCTCTCTTCCTCCTGACAGTGGCGGTTGACGGTTCGTTGCGCGTGGACTGGAGCGCCGCAAGCTCCTTGTCAGACCTCGCGCTTTTGGGGAGCACGCGGACCTGCTTGGCGCGCAGACTGATTCTGACAGCACCTTTGGGCGCACTGGACTTCAGCGAGGTGCCCTTAACGCTTTTTTAAAATTTATTTCAGCTTGGTCTGGTTTTGTATGGAAGCCTATAGGGAACTCTATTAAAATGATCACCTAAACTTGAAAATGAAAATGTAATTCCACAGTAATTATAATTGTTCACATTGGCTAGGTATGTGTTATTTGAGTAAAATTATAAATGAAAATACAATTATCCAATTTAGCCTAATTTTCCATTTATGCAAGCATTATTTAAGTCACGATTAAAATCAAAATGCAATTTTCTAATAATTTGAATATTAAAATGACATTTGACATTCAAAGACTTAACCTGCTGTACAGTGGACAATATTCAAATGCAATAAGCAAACCAGCACTCCCAGTCTTGTGCATTTACATTTAGACGTCACCATGCTCTTTTGGTGTCAATATGAAAATGACAATGTAATCTGTCAGTCCTGTCATCAAGGCGGGTTTTGAATTAGGATGTCACGTCCTTATTCAGTGACTTAGTTCATTAATATTTACAAGTTCGGCTTACCTTGTGACCTGGACACGTCCATCATTTTTCTAACCTACATAAGATGAAACAATGCCCACTTCCTTCTGACAAAAACCTTGGTGGCATATGACAGATTAAATTATTGTTTATCAAACCTCAAATGAGATGAGAGGTTGGAAAAACAATAGACTCTGCTGGAGGGGAGTGATTCTGGGGACTCAGTGATCGCTGTATTTCCCTGTAATGAAAGTGGCTTCCATCGGTCTTGAATGCTGTGTTCAGTCCTGGTCTGGCCGTTTTCACGGGAAGGCTGCTGAGCCCGCTTCCATTGCCCACTCGCCTGGCTTCAGTTTTGATGTCCATTCCCTGCTGGGTGCACCAGCCCCGGGCCTGAAAAACCTCCTCCTCGTGGTGATCCAAAGCTGCTGTGCTAAGGGTGTAAACTGGCTGACTCTGGTGCTACAAGCTTCAAGGGTCAGCTAACTGCTACTAGCTTCACAGCTAACTGTGCTAAGTAGCTAAAGCTACAGTATTTTTGCAACAAGTAAAGCTATCTGTTCATCAAGATACTCAGTAAAGCATCAAGAGGGCATCAGAGGGAAAACCATAAAATATATTTTTTTCCTAAATAGAATCAAGATTTTAAAAAAATCAGTAAATTAAGCTTTAAAGTTTTTTTTTTAATTTGTGTTTGTGTGTACAGTAATCAGTGAGGCCCAACCTGCAGAGACACTCCACTCCGGTGATGTCTATTGTTTTTCGTGCCCAGGTCAGTAGGTAGGTAGAACTCGTAAATGTTAATAAACTAAGTCACAAAAAGAGAAGTAGCATCCTAACTGAAGACCCACCTTGATGAGAGGACTGACAGTTTGCAATTTCATTTTGACTCCAAAGTAAATGCAATAGACTGAGGGGCTGTTTCACTTAATGCATTTGAATATTGTCCACTGTGCTGCAGATTAAGTCTTTTCTACATGGCAAATGTTGTTTTCATTTTCAATTTCAAATAGCGTTTTAATTGTAATTGTGACTGTAATAATGCTTTCACAAATGGAAAATTAGGCTACATTGTTAATATTGCATTTTAATTTAGCAAGTTTGATCTAGCCTTTGAATCTTTTCCACTTTACATTAGGTAGCTGTACACAGCAGCTTTTCCATTTTCATTTTAACATGGTCATAATATGCTTATAATAGTATGTGAAAATGCAAATTGAATTATTGCATTTTCATTTGTACTCAAATAACTCATGCCTATGTGGAAAATTATAATGCTATTATAGAACTATTTTAATTTTCAGGTTTACATTATCATTTTAATGTATTCCCCTGTAGGCTTCCACAGAGTTTATAACATAGCCTAGCTCCACTGACACTTTGTTCACTGTTTCCTCTTTGAGAGACTAAACTATAGCCCACGTTTATCATTAAAACATAGCTTATGCCACTTTATATTTCTAAGTGCTTGAAAATGGATAATTATGATTGAAATTAAGGAAATGATGCATTCAATTTAGTGTAAGCGTGAAGGCGCCATTTAAGCGAACAGGTCCACTCATACAAAATGTACATTTTTGCATTAATTAGATGGTGGGAATCTTTTACTATCTTATTAGTAGGCTCATGGAATCAAATGTTTCAAACTTGTATCATCATTTCTAACAATAAAAGGGTTAATAGAGAATTTCTGACACAACTTCACCTACTTTCAAGATCCATGAATGGAAATAGTACCATATGCCAAAACCAAAAACAGTAACTTGGGCTAAAAAAACAAGCTGCTGATTACTGCATTATATTCGATCATATTTTTATATTCTGAATTGTCACCGGCCACATGAATTTTGTTTCCCTTCATATAACTAAAGACATTTTCGCCATAAATTGGTGCAGAAAATGTCTTTAGAATGCAGGAAAGTAAGAGTTCAATGCTCAAAATATTCTGTGGGAGGACCCCCCCCCCCCCCACACACACACACATTGAATAGCCTATTCCATCAATGAATATTTCTTCTAAATAGCATTGGAGTATCTTCTTGTCTTCTTCTTGTGACTCCAATATTGTGCATTATCACGTCTCGCGGACTAAGTGTTTCGTCAACCTGCTAAGTAACTTAACAAAGATTAATTAATTAAACAAGGTAATAAGCAAGTTATACGGAGACAGTCTTCTTGTTCCCACAAAGGAATGTGGGCTGTCCTCCTTTAAGGTAATTAAACAAAGAGGAAGGTCAGTTGCCATGGTTACGTGTGTGGAGGGGCAGTTTAGGGTTTCCTGCCCTCCTTACAAAAGAGTTCTGATAGGCTGTTCAGGAGAAAGTTAGTTTCTGGTTAGTGTTGATATTGTCATTTGAACAGTCAGGGCATCGAGTCTTAGCTTCGTCAGAGGTGGTAGGTTTTACGATCTAACTGCCCAAAACAGCACTTACGGAAAGCAAACCTTTCACTTGATCAGGCTGTCTGTAGAGGGGGAAATATGTCAACCCCCCCCCCCCCCCCCCTTTCCTCAGGGAGAGACAGAGATTTTTGGAATCTCATAATCGCATAAAATAATTAAAACACTGGCTGATCCACTACAACTGTATGTACTTGTAGATGGGCCTATACACGGTGCTACAGATTTATAGCTCCTCGGGTAGGTCTCTACAAAGATTGTGTGATATATTAACTTAACAATCACCAAGCTACTAACAGCCTACTGTACTATAACATAGTCAGGTACCTACCAGGTATGCTTAATCAGAGATTACAGTCTCTCAGTAATTTGCCGCATGAAGCAGAAAATTATTTTCTCAACCCTTCCTGGTTTAATAATTACCTTATTAATCAGTCCTTCCAAATAATTTCTGTGTGTTTCAACCCTGAGTTCTTTCTCCATTTTAGTTTTCATTAAGGTTAACCAGTTGGTTCAATTATTTGCCAGCCAGTGTAATTAGCAATTCATTTTTAATTTGGGATTTTAAATGGAATCTCAGTGACACGGAGTGTCAAAATACACAAAAGCTCTACTTAGACCGTGTATGAATGGCTGGATCAACTCAGCTCTGAGATGCTACATTTGTAGTGGCTCCCTTGAATGTTTATTTGAGTTCAAAAGACCAAAGAAAACACATTTTTCTTTGACTGTTTGCACCAGCGTTTCTGGACAGTTAATTGTGGGGTTTCATATGGCAAATAGCCTACAGGTGGACTGAGGCTAGCCTGTTTCCAAGACCTACAAGAACCCACCTTGTTGTAGCAAATAATTAAATAAGATATAAAATAAGAAAAGAGGGGTTATCAGGGCACTTTGGTAAGGGTGGTGGCTCTACAAGAACCCATCATAAGCCAAGAAGCACCCAAAACAGGTTCTGCTGTGGTACATGCTATTTAATGCTACGGTTAATAGCCTGCTGTTTTTGTGTCTAGAAATAATCCTGGACATTAAAGCAAAGCACTGCCGGGGCTTTTTAAGCAATGCTCCGGTGCTGAAGTTAGTGGGATACTTATAATTGGTTTAGAGATGATGATGACGATGGTAATGAGAATGATGAATCCACCTTGCCTCTTTTATCCATCAGTGCGCACCATCTGGGTGTGAATGTGATGTGTCGCAGTGAGCCAGCCAGGCGACGATTAGCAGCGCCTAAGTGATCCATTATGAAATGCAGCTTCTCACTCTTCATTGGCAGACCTGTTATTGAATCCAGGGCACTGTGAGAGACAGGTTGGCTGGAATGCTGATCTTATTACATCTCTTTCACAGAGGAAGGACTCTAATGCGTTACACTTCAGGGACCCCCAAAAAGACACACATTAGCTAGCCTATATTTGGTCAGATTAGGCTTTAGGAAATGATTCAAAGTTTAGTTTCTTTGTTGAAGAAGTGCTGGAGTCACAATTGGTAGCCTACAAAATAAATATTTGGTCAATTTGCAAACCTGTTGGTCATGGAACAAAAAAAATTCATATTTTCAAATAGATATGTGGCATTTTTCTGCTTCATATTTAATGCCACCAAAGGGATTAAATGATGCACATGCCTAATCTCTGACGTGTTAGCTGTGGCATCTCTGAGCAGCAGAGTCTACAGTGAATGAAGGCAGGAAGCCACGTGCAAGAGGCATTCATTTGGGCGTTGTGGTCGTCGGTCGGTGTTGACATCATCAGTGAATCAGGCATGTACCAGGAGGAATTGTTCCATGGTGACCAGTTGCCATAGAAATGTTCCCAACGTGGAAAAGTTGCGAGATAGAGAGAAAACAGAGAAAGACAGAGGGGTACGCACAGGCGGGCAGAAACGTGGTATGTCTAGGGAGGACAATGATGTTCAGGTTATTTTCCACCTGGGAAGCAGATATCACGCCAGTCTGTTCCACTGAAACCATTCACGGCTTGCCTTCTCATGTCAATTTTGATGATGGCTTCTGTGTATGCCCGTTTGTGTGACAGAAGAGCGGGCTGCTGCGCACGGAGTCCTGTCTTGTATTTCAGCGTGTACATTGAGCTATTTGACTCAATCTGCCAGTTCAACGCCACAAATTAGATTTCTGATGTGATGTTATCTTAATCAGCCCAAACAACAGAGCAATAAATATAAATGCGTCATAGCCACTTCAGGCTTAATCACATAAACTAAGCATGAAAAGGGGGTTATTCAATTAGATATTACAAATTTATTTTAACAGATTTAAATCCCAATTTTAAATACAGCCACAATACGAAAACACACATACTATCAAAAAAAACTAGAATCAAAACAAAGAGGGTGTGTGTGTGTGTGTGTGTGTGTGCGTGCGTGTGTGTGAGTGTGTGTGTGCCGGCTTCCAGGTGACTCAGGCAGACACCGGTTTTATGTCACACTCCCACTGTCTCCTAACATGCCTGTTGTGTCGAGGAATCTGTTGTGTTGTTCTCTGCGCTGTCTCCAAGCCGAATTAGTGCGCCGCACTGACTCACTGAGACAACAGTAAACCAATTATTTAAAAGCCAAAGGTGAACCTGAGCATCATGACAGCCCCGTCACTGTCTGTGTTCACCAGACCTTGAAGATTTACGACTTTCTTGACATTACGTGTGTATTAGTGTGATGTTATTGCGATCCTTACGAGGGCTAAACATCTTGACTACTACTTGACATGAATCGTTCCTGTGTGATAACAAGTGTGCTACTGTAGGAGATTAAAGATTGAATTTATGGGTTATAATATTTAGGAATATATGTATTGTGCATGTTGTTCGGAGTGTGTGATGGAAAAGATGCGGCACAGCAGTCTAATTGAAGCGGCCCATGTCTTCCTCTGTGCTCGCTCTGCTGTTCAGTAGGGCAGTGGGGGAGCATGGGGGGAGGATGGGGGGAGGGGAGCAGAGCCGGCAGCCAGCCATGCTGTTAACCGGAGCTGCGTGGCAAGGTTGGACCCGGTGTTTAAAAGCTCATACGGATATATTTTAAATGAAATACATTAGAACATTTTGTGCCTCCAAACTCCAGAAATGACAAGTTGTATTTCCAAATATTATTCTTTTCAGGGTAGAAATGTCTCTGAAACAACATTTATATCTTCATGGGATACTCCACTGGAAAGAAATAGCATTCAAGTTTAGGGGCATTAAGCAGGGTAAGACAGGAGCTTTTGAGTTGGATATCCCTGAGGATGTCTAAAATCCTCACACACCATCCTGAAATGACTTCTCTGGGAAACCATACTAAAACAAATAAAGCATGTTCAGTTGTGGGTGGAAAAAATGACCTGCCTGACATCTGATTTTTAGTTTAAAGACCAATACAATATATCTTTATAACCCTTCTCGAGGGTATATGTCACATTATCTACAGATTATCCTCCCTCTGATCTGTGAGCTGCTCCCCGGCACAAGAGGATTATCACGCCTCGCGGCAGCCGTTGATGCCATCGCAAGCCCAGGATCCCCCTTCTCTCTTGCAGGGCGCGTTTGACAGATCATTTTGTTGTTGTTTGTTATTCGGCAGGTATTTTGTCGCTATTAAGTGGAATTGACAGGATAGGTCAGGGTGACGCTTCTGATGTGTTTCCTAATTCGCTGAAAATCCGACGTGGTCTGTTTTGAGTGGTGATTCATTGATGAAAGGTAGGCAAACAGGAAGATTTCACTTCAAAACGGCTCAATAATCCAAACACAGTATTATGTTTACTAGGGGTTCAGTTGTGGCGAGTCAAGTAGCTCTGTGTTGTTTCTCTAAATGAAAGCAGTTGAAACTAGAGCTTCAGAGATCTGCGGTCAATCACCACGGGACTGGACACAATCTGTACCTGTTGAGATATGCTTGTCTGCCTAAAATTAGTCATCAAATTGTTCAGTCAGCCAAGTGTGTTGATCCATATTGAGTAACAACATAGTAGCGTCAGCTCGGCATGTGGCCTTTGCTCTTGACGTGCTTGTTTCCCACATGAGTACAATAAGGCTATAAAGAGAGTTAGCAGACAAAGGGACTTGTCAACACCTGATCCTCCCTCTGTGGTTTGACTTTACAGAGCAGACAGATTTGATGGAGGACAAACTGGAAGGAGGGGGTCCATCTTTTGTCTACTGTCTGGTTCTGTTAACTCACAGAGGACAAATGATCTATCTGGCTGTCTGGGCACAGAGCTCTATCAGTTTCCTTTCAAGAAGTTTTCCTGTATAATTACTTGCATATTTGCATATTTTCAGCCACATCCAGCACCACTGGAGATGCCCGCTCGGGGATTGGCTATGTGCAGATAATGTGCAAAAATACAGCAACCAATCTAGAACCAGAGCTATGCTTTTTATTTTCTATGCCTTTTTGTCTGCGGCCATAGATACAAAACACAATGAGTTATAGCTTGAGTAGGGTCAGCTCAATTAGCCACCAGGTTAACATGTGGCTTCAACTGGCCACAAGTGTTGTTTTTTCTGTTTCTACTCTTCTACCTGAAATAATATGCAAATCAGATGTGCTTGAAAAAGACAGCAGCAATTGGCTGAACAGTAGTTAGGTCGTAATTATTTTTAACTTTAAAGGAGTTGTTTAGCATTTTGGGACAACAATTAGTTGTTGTCTCCGCTGGTTGCTTGGTAATCTCCCAGGGATACCAAGACTCCAGGAAGTCACTGCACCCAAGAAATAGTCAAGCACATAATTTGCTGTTTTTTACACTTTCGATTTATGGACAAACTATATAAAACATGTTAATGAACAACACGAGAGTGGTATCGTTTTCATCTAACTTGTGGCTAAAAGTGAATAACTGCATTTCCCAAAATGTCAAATTATTCTTTTAACATGTTATACCATGCTACATAACATGTTTAGCTTAAATGATTTAATATAGTCCTATTTATCAGTAGCTGTTGAAATAATCATTTTTCAGCAAAAGTTAGTGCCATGCACATACATGCCGCGTGTGTGGTTGTTGGCACGCAGCTTGTGACTCATTAAAAGCATTGATTGTTGAAAGAGAAAATCCTTCACATTCCAAGGCCCTTCTCCTTGCTCACGTTCATGCTGAGCTGAGCTACTGTACCTGCTTTCCCCCAACCCTTATCTTTCTTGTTGTTTCAGGTGAATGTTGACGACACCATTGAAATGTTACCAAAATCAAGAAGAGCTCTCACCATTCAAGAGATTGCTGCATTAGCGCGATCCTCCCTGCATGGTGAGTGCAGCATTTAACACATAAAAATGTGTAACCGTCACAAAGATTATGCTGCACCTTAACCCCTAGCTTTTTCCTTGCAGGTATTTCACAGGTAGTGAAGGATCATGTGACGAAGCCTACAGCCATGGCTCAGGGCAGAGTGGCACATCTGATAGAGTGGAAGGGCTGGTGTAAGCCTATAGACACTCCAGCAGCCCTGGAATCAGACTTCAACTCTTACTCCGACCTCACTGAGGGAGAACAGGAGGCACGCTTCGCTGCTGGTAAGACTTCTGTCGTCTGTTTGTTGAGACTTGTTCATTACATCTATATTACAGGAAGAAACACCTGCTACACACTTTGCTGCACTCAGAGTTCAAGCTGAAAGAGAGTTTTTGAATGCACACAGTCCAGCTGACAACAAATACAATGAAGAGATGACTCACACACCTGGGGCAAGAGAGCTTATGGAAATCTGCAAAATAATTATAAAATATCACAGGGGGTATCCTCATTAGATGAAAAACCACCTTAACAGAACAGTAAACATATGTAAAAAGGAGGAGATGAGTATTTATATCACATGATCACTAATTACAGTGTATTAAATCAAGATGCTGCATACACTGAGATAATTAAAAAAATCCCATTTAGCTTCTAACAAGCTGTTTTTTTCACAATATACACAGTGTATGGTTGACTGAAAACTCATTTTAACACAGGTTAGGAAATAGAACTGATATCAGAAGGATATTTAGAGGCTGGTTGCAGACAGAAACTTTCAGTTCCAGCCCATTTATACCTGCTTAACATGCACTTTGGATATTTTATCTGCATAAAGAAAAATTCCTGTTCATGCTAACAGATCGAATTGCAATACTATTGGATCAGTTAGAGCACATCTAGAGATTATTTGGTTCACACTGTGATTGGATCTGAGCAAGGTGTAAATGCAATTAGTACAGTTTGTCCAGTTTGGTTCTGGCCAGGGACCTCAACCGCATTCCTCACCCTTTGTGTCTCTCCGTATGTTTCCTGATATGATTCCTGAGATAACACATTAAACGCTATAAAGTGCATCACTCTCAAGTTTTACATTTGATTTGATTCCACCATCTAGTTAAATAAATCTGTGTTCATTTGTACGTCTGAACAACAAAAGGGCTACAAACAACTTTCTTCATTTATTGGAAAGATTTTTCTTTTCAGGATCTGTTATTTTCCCCATTACCTTTTGTTATGGATACATTAAAAGTCGGAGCGAGTTGGAGAGTCTTTCTGTCAGCAAGAAACACTTTTTATATCATTAATCGTCATTTCCATTTAGTCATATTTGAGGCTGGTCATTCCTGAGCTTTGGCTTTGAAATTGGTTGCATCATTTCAAATTGCCCCTGAAACATTTAGCCTAATAAGTCATTTTCAGTGTATAACATGATTATGCATTCACAATCAGAATATGAGTAAATACAGATAATGAATAAATAACATAATGCATTCTGACAGTAGAAATGATCCTGGGCCTCTGAGCAGGACACACTGTAAATACAGAATGCTGGTGTGCAGGTGTTTATTAAACAGATGACAGCTACAGAGAGAAAACATGATGCTCTGCAGTGACAACTGTGAGCCTTTATTAGTGTCAGCACAGTGCACATGGGTGCATTTAGAAACTCCATCAAAAGTCTCTACAGCTGATAGAGCATGACGTCGCATTTCTCTAAAAATATATTTTCTCATTTCATTTCTTCTCTCCTTAGTTTCCTCAGAAGAGACGCAAGTGAGGCAAACATGGCCGCAATTAAGAGTCTTCCGGCTATCTCAAAGAGCTTTGAACAAGCCCTTCCTTGGCGAAAGTAAAATAAGTAGCCTCCAAAGAGCAGAATTGCTTCACTGGATGTGGTCCAGATCCAGTCCACCTTTTGTTGAGGTCACAGTGCAGGCACAACCAAGAAAAGAAGATGTTACTGTAATACCAGGTGTAAACGCAAAGGCCCATGATCAGATGTCATTATCCAGATAGTTTCCAGACACAGATTGCATGTTACACCAGGTGGGAATGAGATGTTTGATCCTGCAGCTGATTTGCGCAGCCACTTTCATTGCCCTTAGTTCTTCTCCTCCACACATGGTTTGTTTCTCACAGAGCACCGCTCACCCACAGCTCATCTGTCTCCTCCATCTTTTACTCACTCACCTCATCTTTTACTTTTCTTTCATTCACTCATGGCCCCTCTATTCATTACCTCCTTCTTCCTATTAACACCGTCCCTCTTTTAATGTTCTTCTCTGCCCTCTGTCTCTTTATCTCCTCTTTTTCTCTGTCCTTTTCAACCTGTCCCTCCTGCCTGCTCTTCCCTACAGTCTCGCGCTCGCTCCCTGCAATGCAGACTCTCAAGGTTAATTTGCACAGTAAGGTTTTGCTCCTGGCTTGTGCCACCGTGACTGAGCGATTTTCCTCTGTCCCTCCTCTCTTCTCCTTTCTTTTCTCTTTAATATCGTACTATTTACATGACTTCTCTTCTCATGTCCCTATCTTTGTGATCCATTATCACAATAAAGGATCCATTTCCATGTTCTTTGGTTAGGATAGTGGCTTTATGTGCAACTGTAATGATGATTCATACAACTGATTTATCAAAATGACAAAGTTCTTCTTTTGAATCACTCATTTCATAGATTTTTTAAATCATTCTTAACATCTCTATAGGTGGTCTTTTTTGATCCGTATGAACCTGGCCACTCATTGCATGCAGTACAGTAATTTATTAAGCCTTGCATGTGTATGGCACATAAACAGGGTCGAATCCTTAGCAAGAGTGTCTGATGCTCTGCACACCCTTTTGTTATATTTAATTTGTGTAAACTGACTAGCAGTGGGCTGGGTTGGGGAGTCATTACTACACATTGTGCTTCTCCATATCACTTCAACTTAACTCATCAGTGCGTCCATTCCATCAGGGAGCTGCCAGTTTTGCTGACTCCTTTTAGTTTTGTCAACTCTCCCCTTGTGGCTTGGTGATGGTGTTACTGTGGGCGACTGGACACTCTGCGTGAATGTCAGCGAGCACCTGAGTACATAAAGTGAGCATGTGCAAATGTGTGAAGTGAGTGTTTGGTGTATTTTAGTGTGAATGCAAGCTGGCATGACACACTGGTGTGTGTGTGTGTGTGTAGGAGAAGGCATCCTGAGAATTGAAAATGCAGGTCGGGTTATCCTGTTGATAGACTGACTTCTGCCAACACACACACACACACACACACACACACACACACACACACACACACACACACACACATTCTTTGAAGTTAATCCTGCTGTGTCTCACTGTAGTGCATTAAACTGGCTGCCAGCCTTGACTGACACAGAGAGAGGCTTTTGTCACTGTGTGTGTGTGTGTGTGTGTGTGTGTGTGTGTGTGTGCGCATGTGTGTGTGCATGTGCGTGCGTGTGTGAATGATAAAGGCAGAGAGCGTGAGTGAGAGAATATGTTGAAAGTACATGTGTGGATGGGTGTAAAGTGTGCGTATGTGTGTATTTGAATGGCTGTATTCCAGTTTCTGGTGCACTGTAGTGTAGCAGAGGTGCATGTGGCCTGACCAGTTTTACACTATCTCAGCAGCAAACAAGCCTGTTGCAAAATCTAAAATGGGAAATTGGCTTAAAGGTTGGAAACTAATTTACACACACAGCACAATCTGACTGCAGCACAGTGTGTCAATAATGAACACCTCTTCAATCTGCATCAGTTTATTGTGATTTTGCATATTTGATTATAAGTGGTTATAATCTATATTGTTTATTAAAAATGGATCACATGACTACGTATAATGTGAAAGGAGTAGCTCATAGGAATTAACCCACAGAGAATTACAGTTACCCTCAGCCCTACAGAGTGTTTTAACATCTTTTGGCTCATTGCTTTGTTTTTACAGCCTGCAACATAACTGCTTGGTTCACTCTCACTGCTCTCATCAACCCTATTTCCAGCTGCAGTTGGCAGCTGTTTTCAGCGAAAAAGCTTTGATAAACCAACTGTACATTACATGCTCGACACCAAACTGGCGGACAAACAAAGTTGGCTGCCAGCTGGTGAACAGAGTGGAGTCATGATATGTCACTGCTGCGTTTACAACTTGTTTCCACTCCTCCAAACAGGCAAAAAAAACAACAGTTAAAGTGAGCAATAGGCATTCAAAATGAAGATTATACAGTATCTCACAAGTGAGTACACTCCTCACATTTCTGTAAATATGGGATTATATCTTTTCATGTGACAACACTGACGAAATGACACTTTGCTACAATGTAAAGTAGTGAGTGTACAGCTTGTATAACAGTGTACATCTGCTGTCCCCTCAAAATAACACATCACACAGCCATTAATGTCTAAACCACTGGCAACAAAAGGGAGTTCTTAAAATGAGCTGACGTGCAAAATGTAAAACTGCAAACTGCTGTATGACGTCCAGCCTGCTACAGTATATCCAAATGCTATTCTTTTGTGCACAGACACCTTCAGAAAAAGTTATGTAGTCTTAGTTGTAACAGAAATGCAGTATGTGTGTGTGTATGTGTGTGTGCGTGCGTGTGTGTGTGTGTGTGTGTGTGTGTGTGTGTGTGTATGTGTGAGAGAAAGACAATCTTTCATTTTCAGATCTTAGTACATTTTTCACACAAGTTGGGTCAAAAGCACAGTTTGTGATTAGGGTTAAGATTACACCAATCTGAGCTAATGAAAGTTGACACTTCAATGCTATTCATACTATGTAAAAAAAAATAATCAAAATTTTTATAGAGAGGAGAACACAGATAGTTTTGTGAGTCTGTCTGTCTGTAGGCGTACCCTATCTCTAATCCCTTTTTTTGTGTGGTGTGTTGGTCAGTGACCTGAAAAAGTATGCATGGAGGTGAAACCTCTCCAGTTAAAGGAATCAGCCTGCACGGTTGCATTTGCCGGATGATGTGTTGTGTGAGGAGAGTACAAGGCCCATCTACAGTGGAAGATGAATGAGAGCATCGATCTCTTTCTGTTGGAGACTACGCTTGAATATTGAGCATTGACCAGAAACGAGTCAGAGAGAGAGCGAGACACAAAGAGAAGGAGAGAGTCAGAGAGATAGAAATCAAAATGAGGAGTGAGGGACAGGGCTGAAAGATTGCACGGTGAAAGCAAAGGGAATGGTAAGAATCAGGAGAGTAAGGTGAGCCGATAGAGCGTTTTATTGAGGGAGACGATGGGAAGAAAGGCGTGACCTGAAGGAGACAGTGGATGAACGGGGAGGAATACAAAACAGATGGAGGGAGAGGAAGAGGCTGAGGCGCAGCAGAGAGATAAAGAGAGAAAGAGAGAGGAAGTCTTATTCTCTGATTGGCCAGCTCCTGATAATGATTGGAGGTGATTGGTTACTTGGACCTTGAGGCTTACTGGTTCTGGCACATTCTGAGTCACCTCAGCCGGACACACACGCACACACACACGCAAACACACACATACATACATAGATGTCCTCTCTGTAGTCTTACATGTGTGTGATTTACATGCACATGTATGTGAATGTATGTTTGGTTACTAATAAAATATAGTGATTTATTAATAAGGTAGTGGAGGTTATAATTTCTAGGCAAATAAACACAAATACAGCCACCGATAAAATCCGATCACTTTTTCTAAGCTTGTGACATTAAAGTCAGTGGATTTACATACACACGTTTGTGTATGGCGACACAAACAGCTCACAACAGCATACACAAGATGTTGAAACACATCTGTGGCATACAGCTCTGCAATACATCAAATGAGTCTTGGAGCATGTAATGTTTTGTTTTGTTGACTCTGTAACAGAAAAGTTTTTGCTCAGTAGATGGGTTGTATTAGACTGCATTATACTGAGAAGGGCATTCAATATTCTTCCTCCCTTGGATGTAATCTGGGAGGACAAAACAGAAAAGAACTACTACAAAGTAAATTGGCAAATACTGTAAATTTTCAAATTCCAACCATGGTCTTTATTTACCTCAGCTTCTAACAGCGTTATGTTAGAGATTTTATTCTTAATTTATTGTTTCTGCTTCTCTACACACAGGGGGCGTCGATGTGTATTCATTCATTTATCATTCACTAATTAATTCCAGTTGTTCCACTCTGCCTTTTTGAAAGTCAACACGTCCTGCAGACTTTTCACATGAAATGTTTTCCAGCCTTCTCTCTTTTGGTAGGCTGCTTATGTGAAAAGAATAATGTAAGATGTTTTTTTGAATTTATAGTAGTTTAACATTGGTAGAGAAAAATGTCAGAAGACAAAAAGACAAAGAATGAAATGGTAAATGAAGGTAGAATCTGATTTGAAATGTACATTTACGAAGTGAGACATTATGCTACAGGTGATTCCACCAATGTTATTCCAATTTTACCCGCACTTTATTTGCTAGCTATGACTTGAAAACAGGCATATATGGTATAAAAACCATACTGTATATAAGAAGTGGATGTAGTCATAGTGACGTCACCCGTTGGTTTGTGGACTGCCGTTTTGAAGTCTCGAGTTTGGCCGATAGGGTGCCGCCATGTTGAGTTTTTCAACCAGCGGCACCGGACGTGACCATATTTGGACGAGACGGTGGAGCTAATGGCCGTGTGCGGCGCTAGTTAGCTTGCTTAGGCTTGGTGCATCTGTATTTCATGTTAACTGTCATTTTTTTGTCAACAGGGCTGATAATTTTGTTTAGCGAAGAACAGTCTCCAAACTAAATGTACTCACCAGAGAAAGTGAACAACCAACTCCTCATAAGGTTTTTTAACGGCGTTGGTTAAATTTACACAGTGCCGAAGGTACGAGTCACTCTAGCCTGATTGACAGATCGCCATGGTAACATCATAGATAATCTATTTTCCTCTAAATGGGACCAGAATTTACTAAATGAACATCATTTTGTTTTAAATTAGACTTGAAACTAGCGGTTGAAACCATAAATCCATTATGAAAGTGTTTACTGAGGTAATAAATCAGCTGAGAAGTAGGGTCATTTTATCATTATTACTAATGGAGCCGGACTTCTTTTTGCAACCAGAAGAGTCGCCCCTGCTGGCCGTTTGATAGAATGCAGGTTTAAGGGACAGTTCTCTGACCATAAGCTTCCTGTATGATAAAAACATATTATTTCAATGAAAATGTCAGTAGGGTTTTTTTTTTTCTTGACATTTTGGGTGACATACAGATTCTGTGATGTCTGTGCTTCTTCCAACATACTGTCTCCTGTCTCCTCTGCACTGGCAGAAATGCAACCTGCATAACAACACTATCGAACACTTAGCGACGGTCATGTTAAGTGCACCAGCCACATGACCGCTGAAGAACATCGATTGTAATGGGAATGCTGTCTCTGTCCAGTCTAATCCTACAGGGTGCACTGTTCATCACACAGACCTGCCAATCAACAACATCTATCTAACATGGAGACACAATGGCCTCCTTGTTATCATGCCGACCATGTATTTGCTTGTGAATAAGTGCAGCTTATGTGTGCATGTGCATGTGCGCGCAGGTGTGGCAGAGCAGTTCGCCATAGCGGAGGCTAAGCTGAGGGCCTGGTCCTCTGTGGACGGCGACGAGTCCAACGATGACTCATATGACGAGGACTTTCTGCCTGCCAACGAGCCCACCACACAGAGCACAGGTACACACACACACACACACACACACACAGAAATACAGACCACAATATCTGTGGTAAAGCAAAATCATATTTATTTCCTTCATTTTGTCCTAGTACTCCATCACACACCCTCTTCCCTGTCCACCTCTCTCTCTCCCTCTCTCTCTGTATCTTTCATTGTCCCAGTGCCCTAGTTTTCATCCTCTCCCAACATTTTTTTTTGTTCCTCCGCGCAATTTGATATCCCTCCTGCAAGTTTAATATAATTTCCTTTGCTGCAGAGACAATGTCTGTGTGAGGATGGTGTGTGAGTGGGTAATAAATACACAGAGTGTATTTGACCATGGCTGTGTGTAAGTGTGTTGGTGTGTGCATACTGGAGCTTTCATCTTGATTACACTGAACCACCAATAACCTGTGATGCAGCTGATAACATTCAGTTCAGTGTTACTTCTCTATCTTCATATATTCATCTGTGGTTTCTTACCTTCTGGCAAAGGCCATTTAGTAAACAGAGCCTCACACGTACCAGCTGATATTTTGCAGCTAGTTTCTTAGCACTACTATAACAAATTGTTTATTTTGTTACATATATCTTGATATTGTTGCATTTTTCCTCTTACTGTATTTAGCAAAAATATCATACTTTGGGTTCAATATCAAATTTATGTATTTTGTATCTTTTTTTGCTTTCTTTTTACTCACAATTTTCACTTCTGGTATGTTTCACACTCTTGTAATGCAGTGGATGATGTCTTTTCCATTCTTTACATCTAGATAGTGTCAGGTTAATGCCAAGTGTAGACACAAGAAAAACGGATTTGGACCCAGAATGCAGACACCAAGGTGGAGCAGATGCATTTGAAGTGTTAATTAACAGTATGTGAAAACCTATAACCAAGGTGAGGCAGGCAGTCCGAAACAATGCAAATACATCCAGACCGGAGCAGGCCACTATCCAAAGCAAACCGAAATCCAGAAATAAGTCTAAACAGAGAATGAGAAAACACCCCAAAACCATGACACATATTTCTTTTTAACCCAGTTGACGGTGAACTTTACTAGTTGCTACTTTATATCGAGTGCTTTGTAACAGTTATTTAAAACTGGTACTTTTAGCATGCTTTTTTTCTTCCTTAAATTGTGCTGTGGTTGCTTTTTAAAATTACAACATTGCCATAATTATTTGTCAGCAGTGGAAACTTGCTTGACACATAAATGAGTTTGGCTTCCTTTTGCAAAAGCAGAGCAAAATTATTCTTACAGGTACCCTGTGTAGTACGTCACATTCCATGTTTTTCAGCAAAATGCATTGTATAATAATAATATGACATGAGTTTCCTTCCTCAGAAATGACCTGGAAAGCATTTTTCTTATTTTAAATCCTCATTTTGCTTTTGCATTGCTACGTTTCTTGTTGTGTTACTGCAGCCAACTACTGATCTGTGGGAGAGCATGCGACTGTTTGCAGGCACACATGATATAGACCTGCTCATTAAAACATTGCTCTGTAGCGCCACTAGTGGTCAAAAACTCCCTAGGGTAAAAATGTAAATAATGAGTACAAAGAGTAAAGGCAGGAAACATTCTAGTTTCATCTCATGTTTCCTCTCTTATCGTTGTTTGTTTTTCTTCAGGCTCACAGTCTGTATCATTCCTTCTAGATGTGCCATCATATCCTCCCTACTTGAAGGATCTGATCCACAGCCAGGTTTGCCAACACCTGGGCCTGCGAGGGCCCTTTTGCGAAGGTGGAGGAGGAGGAGGAGAAGGTGGCAGCGGAGAGCCCTCCCCCACGGCAGGCTCCCCGGACACCCTGTGCTCCAGCCTCTACAGCCTGGACGAGCACCACCCGCTACTGCGGGACCTGGGCGGCCACCGTGGCACCCACTCCTACAGCAACGCCGCTGAGCTTGCCGCCAAAATCTTGTCTGCGCTGCAGGGAGGGGAGGAGCTGCTGCTGGCCCGACTTCAGAGGGCGGGGCAGAGCGGGCTTGTTGGGGGGGACAGCGGCTTCCACAGCCTGGGCGGGGGAGGGCGGGGCATCAGGCCCTGCGGGGGTCAGGACTCTCCTTGCTACTCCATGTCTTACTCTGAGACATACCTGTCACCTGGTGAGGACGACGACACCCCCTGCAAGGACTATGAGAGCACCATGTGCCAGGTACAGGCGGAGGGAAACGGAGTGGAGTTCCCGCCCGACTATGTCCCGCGCAGGAGGGTCTCTGACGTGGCCTCCTCCGGTGTTGTGTCTCTCGATGAGGAGGATGAAGAGGAGGAGGAGAGGGCAGGAGATCCAAACAACCAATGACTCCTCTCGTCTCACCTCAGTGTTTAATCCCTGTAAGTTCTTGGAGGGTTTTCGTTCCCCTCTCCGCCATGGCGTCTGAAATGTCTGAACCTCCACGCATGTTGTTTTTTTTCTCCTCTGACTGAAGCATAAATCATCCGTCTTTGCCTTACTTGCAGCATTTCAACTCCTCCTTTCCATCTCCTAACTGCTTTGTCCCCGTTCGATGCATTGACTGTATTTTCTTTCAAGGCGTCCAAACAATCTTTTTTATCAGTGTGAAAACAGGAGTGCTGGACTTACTCGCGGGTATGACGCTCACAGTTTTCAGCTCCGTCCTTACCTGCGAAGTGACTCTCAAAACGGACGCCACCAACAGGCAGACAGAATGACTGAGTCCAAAACTCTGACTTACCTTTGCATGTGTTTTGCAAGTGCTGAAATTGATGGGCTGACCCAGTCTTGAGCACGGTTTGTAATCTCAGCTGTTCTGTATAACCCCTCCCCCCCCCCAGTGTCTCCCATGGGAGGGAGGGTTGACACTGCGTCCTGAGACCTGGCCTCACCCCCCCCCCCCCCCCTTTCCTTTCCTTTGCAAGAGACAAAATAGCATCCTTTTGGGCATGGCTTGCTGAGTATGCCAAACTATTTAACCCTGTCACTACCAATTATGAGCAAATGCTGGAATGTCTTCAAAGTGACAGGACATAGTATGTATTTTAAAATAACAAAGTTTAAAAAAAGATTTGTCACAAATTATATGACAGAAATGATATGCTTTTATTGTACTAGTTTTCTATCACTCAAACATGTTGTCGTTCACATTATTCCCAATATCATTATGATGGACATCTGCCATAATGATCAACTATACCTATTGGACATGTTTGGGACCGGATTCGTGCATGGAAGACACGAGAATTTTGGTTGTCTTGAAAAAAACACAGCAGCAGCGATGACGACAACTAATGACAGAATGTTCCTGAAGTGACCCTTCGGCGATAGGTGTACGTCAGGAAGCGGCACAGCTGGAAAAGACAGAAAAGTTTTTTTTCTGTGAAGAGATGAGTTGCATCGGAGATTTTCTATATTTTTGTATGCGTTGTCTTGCTTTGATCTCTTTGCCTATGCGGCGTGCCAGTGTATGTGGTTTTTTGCACGAAGCTAACGTGGCTGTAGATTTCTCCTTTTCTTCGTTATCACTGTGTGATATAGTTTAATGGGAAAAAAAATAACAATACAAATGTGAACAAAAACGTTTTTTTTTTATTTCAATAGAGGATACTGTGACGCGGTTTGTTATTGCCATATGTCATGATCCTCATGAAGAGCTCTTGTTTTTTCTTTTTTCAAAAAAATTCTAAATGCTCTACTTTCTGTCCTCTCATACCGACTCCTGAAAAGCTTTGCCTTTTATTCTGTAATTTTCCTTTTTTCTATGATGTTTGCAAAATGGCATGTTTATGTCATTGTGATGTGAGGAGCCCTGTTGAGGTTCTCCCAGAGGGACTGTCATTCATACAACTCAGGAAATCCCATTGGACCAGAGCATCAGTGCGTCCCACCCGCACGCATAACACCACTCCCCTCTCATCCGCCGTGTGTGTGTGTGTGTGTGTGTGTGTGTGTGTGTGTGTGTGTGCTTGTGTGGGTGCATTTTTGTGTGTTTGTGAGAGAGAGAAAGCCTGGCTCGTTATTTTCTATAAATAATTAAAGCACAGATTCAGTCCCCGCATCCTTCTTTAATGTTGTTTGACTGTTTAGAAAAGCCTCAGTGTGCGAATCTGTGTGTTTGACGTTTTGCGCAAATGTGTGTGATTGTATGTGTGTGGCCAATTTGTACGATGTCAGCAAGCTCCTTAAGCTTGCACTGTTTATCCATTCCAAACCCCTCCAATGCAGCGATTCCCTTTAAAGCAGTATCTGGTGTAGCTGAGCTCTGGTTGGGGGTTGAACTTTTACCGGTGCTGGAGACTTAAAAAACATACATCTTGAATTTATTTTGAAAATACAGAAGGGATGACATGTTAAATCGGCTGACTTCTGATCTCAAAACGACATGAAAATGAGGAGTCCCAGACAGGAGAGTTGGAAAAGACAGCAACAACTCAGGGGGAACCATTGAAGCTGTGCCTTTCATTTGACACCTTTGACCTCCCAAGTTGCACCGTCATCATCGTCACACCCTACATGCTGTCACTCAGGCCATAGCTTGGATTCCTTCCCCTTCTCTCTTTTGAAATGAGTGCAGTGTAAAACGCCACTAAAATCAATTCAATAGCGACACCAAATATCCTGTTGCATCTCCTGTGTGTATTCACCCGCTGTAGCTGGAGGTTACAAGCGGGCCCGTTTGCGTCACTGTCCTTTTGGTTGACATTAAAAGCTGGGCGATGCTGGCGAGGCGAGGTTGTGCTTTTGTTCTGGCACGGTGATGAGAGCGCGCCATTGTTCACCCCCCACCCACACTGCTATTTATCAGCTCACTCTGTCCACCACAGTGCATTTGCTGTGTCTGTGTCTCTGAGTGTCCTCGTCCTCTCCTCGGGCGAGTGTGTGTGTGTGTGTGTGTGTGTGTGTGTGTGTGAGAGAGAAGACGGGCACCTTGGCGTGATGCGTTTTTCATTCACCCAGCTATCTTATACTGGACATGAGTGTGTTTTCATGTCTCTATCCTTGTGAGAAACATTTCGTCCTCGTAAGAATAGAAACAGAAGAATTCCTGCTGACAGACAGAATGTCTCCTCTCTCCATCTTTCCTCCTCATTCCTGTCATTTCCTGCGCATTCACCCTCCTCTCCTCCCGCCCCTCTTTGTCTCTGTCCTTTCCTCTTTGCCTCCAGTCCCCCTTCTGTCTCTCTTTCTTCCCCTCCCTCCATTTCTCCTCCCCTCCATCTATCCCCACAGGTGGCTCATTACATAACCAAGAGGACGTCTGAGTGCTACCTATGCCCACAGGCAATTAGCCCATGATTATAAAACCGGCTGACAAACAGGAGATGCGTATCTCTCTCCTGTCTGTCTTTTTTCCACCCTTGTGTCTTTTTTCCCCTTCACTCCATCTGCTCCCTCTCTCTCTACCCCCTCCTCACAGCCACAAGCTTTTTCTAAACGACATCTTTTGAGGTTTGCCGTCCCAGAAAACTCCAAGCAGGATTTTGGAAAGCAACGGGTGATGAAGGGGAGCGCTTCTCGCTTGCCACTCTGTTCTGGTAGTGATTAATATTTCGCAGCTCAACACCCCGCTGTCCTTGAGTCAGACAGATGTCTTTAGAGGGAAACATGTTTCTTTTTGTGTGAGTGTGTGTCTCCGGGCAGTCTGTTTTAGTTTGTTGCTTCAGGCAATTGCTGACATTGGATACTTATCAGAGAGAAGTGCCCCAGATTGCCTCTGTGAGGGTGTCTGTGTGATAGTGGTGGGAGAACCCAGCGCTATAAAAAGACATCAAAACATCTGTCGGACAGTGTCAAGGCAGGAGGGCGAATGAATATTCAGTTGGTGGTGGCACCCTGCTTAACACTATAGCCTACTTACCATTCTAGAACAAAGCTGAAGGGCCCAGGGACCGCTCTCACCACAACACCGGCCCCCAGCGGTGAATATTAGGACAAAACCTGTGAACATAACTGAGAGTCAGGGTGTGAAAACTGTTGTAGGAACTGAATATAGACAGTGTTGTCTTCACAGAGAGAGATGGTCTGTGTTTAACCCACATTAGCCTGATAGCCTCCACCATCTTAATTAAAATGTCCCACAGTCCTCTGGGATGTCGGGGACACACAGAGACACACGCACAAAATGAAAAGATCTTGCGAGAGTTCAGAGAGTAAAGCCATACAACTCACCCAAAAGAGACACAGACACTAGAACTAACAGGGTATAAAGAAAAGAGATTGCCCAAAATGAATGTAGGTCCTAATATGAGCATCAGTCAAACACACACACTTAACCATGTCCTCCCTCTGAAATCTCAATCCTGTCTTTCTTTTTTCCTCTTTTTTTTCCTTTTTAATACTTTTCTTCCTCTTTTGGCTGAATGTAATTATTTGAGTATTGGCACCTTGGATTTGAAAAATGAATCTTGTTTGCTGCATCTGAAATTATTTCGAGTTAATTAAATATTATTGTTCTTTGCAAAAAATACAAACCTGGTGTTGTGGTTATTTTTTTACATTATAGGAACAACAGTTAAAGATAGATGGGAGGAGAAGTGTTGAGAGCTCCATTAATCTCACCAGATTCCATGTAGTGTTTTATGGTTATGGTAAGATAATGAACTATTACATTCACCTCATTCAACACCATTTACTACTGGGCATTCACTGTGGCACACACACCATAAAGCCTGCTGCAATTAGTTTCATGAGTAATTACCAGTGCAAATGACAGCAGTCAGAGACACAGCACAGAGTCGAGCTTGTCTTAGTGGTCGTATAGCAGTAGGTATTTCTTTTTTCCATGACATCATGGGCCCCCGGGGAGCTCAGTAATCCATTTGGTGGGTCGGAAGAGGAGGGAGGGGAGGAGAACAAAGGATGGTGTGTGTGATCATCGGGATTTTGAATCCTTAAAAAAATGGGGAAATGAACGGGAAAAAGAACACAAAACAAATAATGGCCTGAGAATGAGATAAGTCTGGGTTAGGTGTCAAAGTAAAGTTGAGTGGGTCTCAACAGAAATATATTGATATTGGTGATGGTGCAGTGGATAAGACACATGCCTTTGGTGTGAGAGACCCGTGTTGAAGTCCAGTGTAACACACCAATGTGTACTGGAGTAAGACACTTTGCTCCAGAGGCGTGTGGCCTCTGCCATATTTATATGCAATGATTATTATAAAACAATATTATTTGAAAAATCACAGGCATTTTGGAAGGACAGTTTGGACTTCCACACACTATTTTAACAACAATAGGTTCAGTTTGTCCAACGTAGGTAAAATTGTTACTTGACTCTAGGTTCTGGCATACTGTGTTTTGAGATATATTCAACAAGTTCTAAAAGTTGCCTTCCAAAAAAATAGTGACTTCTAAAATAATGAGTATTTCAAAAATGACTAATACTGGCATTTTGTGATCTGCTACCTCAATGTATAAGGTGACTGATAATATAATGACCTTCTTTGAAACACTCTCATTCGCTTTCTTGGTGAGAGTTAGATGAAAAGATCAATTCTAATGAGACACATCATGTTAATTAGAGAGCTTTTGAGGTATTTGTAGCGTCCTGCTTCCACCATGTCCATGTAAGCTAAGCTAATCGCTTCTCGTACAGACATGAAAGTTGTGTTGATCGTCTCATCTGACTCTCAGCGATAAAGTGATCACGTGTAGGTTTAATGTGTAAGTTTTAGTTCCATCTAGTGGTGTGATTTGCGAATTGCAACCAGCAGCTCATGGTGCATTCACTTGCTTCTCAGAAGGTCCCATTTCCCAAGTTGTGAAGTTGTTCTTCTGACTTCAGTGTGTGTTCATGTGCTCTTGTCAGAATGTGGAATCAACATGGATGCTACCAAAAAGGTTGGATTAGCATTATCAGGGCACATAAACAACATGCAGACATTTAGTTCACTTTACATGGACAGCAAACTAACCGTTATAACCATATTACAAATTACATTCTTGCAAAATATGTACATGCAATACGTGATTCAGTTACATCTGAACAAAATCCAAGATTAACACTCCCAAGTCAAAATAACAAGAGTCTTTCCTCTTTCACCCATTCCGCCAATATTGTGTAAATGCAGTATATTGTTCATCACGTTCACCATATAAGCGTGTTAGCATGCTAACATATGTTAATTAGTACTGTAGTGGTGTGTGCTTCTACGCAGGACTACAGGTGCTTAGACTTGCTCTTGAACGCACTTCTAGAGCATCAACTTAGCTCCACCCAGATCAAACCCACTCATTAGCTCAGCTTATTTAAGGCAGCTGTGCTATCAAGGCTGCCTCTTTGCCTTTTCTCTGCCTGTTGGTTGCCTCTGTGATGTTTAGGTAGGCGATTGAGTTAAAAACCTGCTTTATGCGTTTTGGCTGATTCCAAGTTTCCCTGTCTGGAGTGGCGTGATGTATCGTCCTTTACAGAGCACCTTGTGTTAAGGCATGAGAAGCTTAATAAGCAATAAGTAGGGTATGATAACTACATGAGGTAATTCACATTGATTATGTGGTGTCCGAACAATAATGCTGCGATGATGTGTTGAGAGGAAACCCGCTTGACACTGTTCTTGATCATAAAAGTTTATTACATCAAGGAGTTCAGCATCAATTACAAGCTCTGCAGCAGCTTGGAGAGTGACCCAGCCCGATGGCCACTCTGTCTCTCTGTACATCAAGCAAAGCTTATATAGGATATGTTTAGGTATCTGTTAGGTACCATAGAGAACTGGGGCACGATTTGGTAGCGACACGATTTGCAGTGAACCGGTTTGGAGTTAATATCGTGGGCACATGCAGTGGGTAAGTTGGTGTACCCCTGGACCACACATAGATAGTTTGCCTCTCCACAGCTGGCCCTAGCCCCCTTCCCCTTTTGTTCAATAATATTCAGCAATAACTGGGAGTGTATTTTGTTAAAGAATTAACATGTGTTTGCTTAAATTGTAAAACTTCTATATTGTGAATTGATTTGCATTATTGACATCCTCTTTTCAGGTACTTCCGGTAACCAATCACCTAATTGTCAAATGAGTAATTCTTCTGGAACCACATCTGTCTTCAGTAAACCTGTGTAGTCTTTGTATAACTGGGGTTAGTCGAGGTAGAAATTTCCTAGGGTGGAAGTCCCCAGGTGGCGTTGTTGGATTCTGGTAGTAATTCCTCTTAGCGCAACCACCCCTTGCCACAGTACTAATCTCACAAGGTACACTAGTTTTGCAGGTGTTTGGTCATAAATCAAAGTATTGGACACGATGACTTAATGGCAATCATCTAATAGTGACGGCCCAACATGTATTTACCTGCATTTCACATCACGCCAACGATTCAACTTAGAAGGAAATTGCATTTACGTACAGATCAAGAGAAGTTTTTCAAGTAAAAGGGCTACATTTCCAGAATTCCTGCCTGTTGAAACACCCTGACATAGTAGTAAAAAAATACAGCAGTTGCTGGTCTTGACCATGGTTTTCATGAAAGATTTTGGCAATGATGGTTTAGTTGATTAATTGATGCCTAATAAATGCTAAAGTTTCTTCTGGTGTTTTCCTCTCTTCAGCTGTTGCCTCACTTCATTCTTTCTCTTCTGAATTCATCCACAGCACCTCCCATGAAGATGCTGACTGAAGAGGTGAAGGAGAAAGCGGAGTATTAACTGGATTGTTTCAACTTTATAGTTCACATATGAAGTGTCCCTGCTATGACTGAGGCTACATTATCCTGAAGGGCAAAAGATGCTGAATGTAGTTTTGCACATCATGGAATGGAAAAACACGCAGACACATGTACCATAAAAATAATTTGAAAGGCATGAATGCCATCGTTGACATGCAGCACTGCTTGAAGGACAACTGTGTTAATAGGCAAATGTCACTTCGATTAAAGCTCTTAAAGAGGGAGAATGTAAAGGTCAGCTGGAGCTCTGTATACTTTGACTTTACAAACTATTTTGTATCTTGAATCTGTTCATCAGAAAGCACACTACATTTCAGGTTTGAACTTGTGTATCTGTAATTCCTTTAGCAGGTAAGCATAACTTAAACGGACAATTTTCTCTTGCATTATTGATAAAGGGTTCACATTGTGTGCTCTGTTAGGCAAACGGACAACCCGACCACTCACCACTTTGCTATTTCTGACCACATGCTAGAAACATCTCTAAGAGGCCCCCTTCAGCCTTATCTCTGCTGTGTGTCTGAATAAAACGGGGTCTCCACTCCTTATCAGTTTGTCCGTTACATTCTTGGCACTAATAGTTGCACAAACTGCCATTTATGGCCAAAGGAAGAACGTTATAGAACCCGCACTGTGCCCTACTTCCCCACAATGCACCAGGGCTTTATAAAAACCCACAACAACGACCCCTGGACAGTGAGAGAGAGAGGTTAATAGCTTTTGGTAACCCACTTCTTGTAGGTCTGTATTTTGCCAGTATTTATTCTGAGGAGGCTTAACAGAAATCAAATCTTAGAAAAGGTCTTGCTTTCTGAGGCTGGGGCATATTGAGAGTGGGAGTGTGTGCGCAAGTGTGAAAGGCTACTTAAAAATTCTCTGCTATGGCATCGCTGACATCTTCCAGCCGCAGATCCTCCTCATCCTACCACTCATCATCACGTTACAGCACCTCCAGTTCCTATCGGTCGGAGGGCTCACTAGGCGGATCGTCCGATTCTCTGGATCCCCTTTTTGAGCCGTTTCTTGACTCTGCTGATCATTCAAGTCTGTTTGGAGAAGAGGGCCCAGGAGGAACCAGTTGTCTGCCCCCCTTCAACAGGCACAGCAGATCCTCCTATGGACACACTGGTAAGGGAATTGATGTCCACTAAGGCCTGTCCCAATTTGTTACTGTAGCTATGCCTGTCCAGCTTTCTGTTATTGCACTGTTGCAAAAGCAGTTTGCAAAGATAACGGTGGTGGATTTACTGTAAAAGGTTCTTAAATATGCACTTCATGGCTACACACATAACATTGTGCTAAAATTCTGCTGCATATCCCAGGCAAAAACAAAGCTGAGCTAGTTAGCTAGAAATGCTAATGTTTGCTGCTTATGATAGAGCAGACACTCTCAATTGCTCACAATTTTCTTCTTTTGTTTTTGGTTACAGAAAGGCAACAAAAAAAGGCCTGCCGTGCCCAATTGCTAAACTATAATTGAACAATCGTTCTGTGAATGTCAATTACCAATGAATGATCAGGGACAAATCACTGATCTAAAGGTCACAGGGTCACAAAGCATCTAGACTGATAAATATGATTAATTTTTGATTATATTGTGAAATAATTACATAACAAAGGCTAGCTTTATTATTTTTTCCTTGGCAGCCAGTGGCGGCTGGTAAAAAATATTTTAGATGGGGCTGTGCCATATCCAGTGACTTTCAGTAACCGTCCCAATACAATTTAACACAAACTGCAGGATACCAGTGTTCTGTGAAATAGTCAGAAATTATTTAATGCCAATATTAAAAAGTTTCTTGCACAAAAACATAAACAGTGAACATAAACATGAAAAGTAAAGTACAAATACCTCTAATTTGTACTTCAGTACAGTAGGCCTACTGGAACCACTGGAAATAACCACATCTTAACACTTCAGAGCAGCCAAGAAACTATACAGTTTACCTCTGTAACCAACCGCTGTTGTTCTCCTTGTCACAAGCACCAACTGGCAGTGGGTGGAAATGTCAGTTATCTCATCTGCCTGAATAACAAGACATTCTGCATTTTTACTTCTCCCAGAATGTAATCTTTAAGAACTGACAGCATGCAGTCCAAAGGTTCATTTTGCACAGTCTTTGAGGTGCCTTTGAAAAGGGTAGCGGTCTTAAAGAGGCGGTATTTTAAGCTTTTTGGCTTTTTCCCTCTCCTTTATTGAGTTATATCTTTTTTGTGCATGTAATAGGTTTGCAAAGTGAAAAAGCCCAAAGTGAGTTCCCATCTCCCACAGAAAACTCTGCTCTGAACTGCCTGAAAACAGCTCGTTTGTAGTCCAGCCGCTTCCCTTTCACCCTTGTGACGACACAGGGATGAAAGCTAAATAAATATAACACTCGCCAAGCAACTACTCCGATACTCCCTCAAAAGCACCGGTAGAAAAACAGTGAGCTGCAGCACACACCTCTCCTCTCCCTTACAAACACTAGCTACCCTAGTCAGTGGACATAAAGTTGTTACTGTGATGTGGAGACAGAGTTCAGTTAAAACTTTATGGATGAAAGATACTTTTGTTACATAACTCACCACTCTAAGGCTACGTTCAGACTGCAGGCCAATGTGACTCAAATCTGATCTTTTTATGACAGTGTAAACAGGCCTGGTCACATGGAATCTGATCTTTTCCAGTTCGGAATTGGGCAACTTCCATATGTGGTCCAAAACCGATACAGATCGGATCTTTTTAAATGTGACCTCAGTGTGGACACTCAGGTCGCATTTGATGCGACTTTGATGTCACTGTAGAACAGCTGTTCTTCTTCTGTAGATGGAGCCACTATGAACAAAAAACCTCCACATAAAGCCTTTATCAAACATGTGGCCCTCTTTCTCCTCTACCTCACTATCATCTGCTCACAAATTCCCTTTCTTATACCTGAAATTCACCAGACCGGGGCTCTCTTCTGAGTTACGTGTATGCTACTTGTTCGAGTGGACACAGTGGGGAGAGAGAGGGAGGGAGTTGTGGGGCAGAAGCGTTGTACAGCGCCAGAAACCGTAATGATATGAAGATGAGCATAATACCACCTCTTTAAGGTGTTCCTCCAACACACTGTCCAGCGAGGCAACAAGATCTACTGAAAACGCCCAGAATGTAACACAGTCCACGTTGTATCTGAAAAAGCAAGCATGGGAAGCAAAATACGGCATTTACATAATTGCGTCCAGCTAACCGAGCTTTTCTATTCTACCAATTGAGGTAGAAGCCTCGCACGTACGTTTTACCTTTCTCGCTAGCCTGTTGATTGATTTTGATGTCAGGTTTATCTGGGCCAAGCTTTTTGACAAGTAGTTTCTCCACCAAAATTCTCTTCTCAAATGGATCTTATTGAATTTGTGGGCGGCTGAAAGCCTGTGTCTTCAGTTCCGCCTTCATCGCCTACAACGTCTGGCGTACTCTACAACCGACTGACTCTGCTTAGGGCAGGGGATAAATTTCTCGCCCTTCAGGCATCAGATTTGAGGATGCTGACTGGCTTAATTTATGTTGCTATGGGCATATCTTATCTGCTATTGGCTGCGCTGCTGTACTGCCTGGGCTCCCCAGAAGAGATCAGTGGATGAGCAGGAAGCTAATTTCCCCCCCAAACCTAATTATTTATATTTTATGTATTACACATTATTGTGCATTTTAAACACACATATACTTAAAACAAGTTATTGTTTATTTAAAAATGTTTATATTAAAAAGAAAAATCAAAAAACTTTCCACCAGGGAGGGTGGTACCCTAGGGCCCTCTATTGGCCAGCTGCCACTGCAGCAATTTTTGAGGCACAGGGTAGAGCCTTTTTCATTCATTTTCTCCACCAGCAGAAAAGAGACATTCGTTTCTCACATCACAGTGGTGGTTTGACTGAAAGAATAATACCATAAAAAAGACAAAGACCTGCAGGTCAGAGAAAGTAATGAGCCAGCGTCTGAGCAAGAGGTTCTGTACTCTGAGAAAAAGAATCTGTATGACTCCAGACATTGTCCACTGGACCAAATAAAGAACTAATAGCAAGGTTAAAAAATAAAATAAGTAGTAAATAATAAGTGAAGTACTAACATGTAACACAAGAGCTTCTAAAGACTTAATAAGTGCCGCTGTACAAAGCAGTAACTGCAATAATAAAAAGGTTTATTACTGCTGTGACGTTATAGGCATTAAAGAATAATCAATAATTGGGTTTAAAATTTAATTTCACTGACCCATTTGGAATATTTCACCGCTCAAATCAAATAAAAAAAAAAAAACTCCAACTGAGTCTCTTCAGTGAAATATTTCAGTTACTCATGGCTTTTAATGGAGTACTAAAACACCCCAAATAACTGAGCAATAATGCTTGGCTTGACTATATGAAGGTCCAAAGGTTTCTATGCTAAAGATGTTCCTCAGAGACAGAGCCACAACTCTGTAAAGAGCAAAAAGACCCCAGTTAGCCAACAGGGGCTAACTGGCTAGCTAGCAGTTAGGGAGACTGGGTGGCTGGCGGTATGTAAAGGGGCAGAAATTGGTGAAAATTTGAAATAAAAACTAATACTGTAAAATAAAAAGGGACATTTAAAGGGCATTTTTAAACATAAATGTCTACAGGTACAGTATAGTAAAATGTAGGCTACTCCAATAAAACTCTCACTCATACTATTATTATGAAAATAAAAACGATGAAATAACATTTATAAAGACGTGTTTAAATGATTTCTTTAACAAATTTTTTAATTAGTTTTCAATTTCTTGGTTTGTATTTTACATTAATTTTTTTATTTAACAGCATTTTAAATTGAGCAGAATAATTGCTTCAGAACATATAATGTATGTACAGTGTAAATGTTTTCCAAAAAACTAAATATTATGGATTATAATGTACACATACATTGCTGACTTATTCACATCCAGCCATGCTGTATATCATATTTCTCATATTTTCATTTATACTTTTCTACTTGCACATCGATAACATTCCCATTGATATTACAACAATATGCCATTAATTGTATTCTTATTCATGTTTATTTCTCCAACATCTGGATGTGTTCTAAGCCTCCTGTGTTGTGTCTCTGGAGGTCCTGTAGGCGGTGCTGTGACATGCCGGCAGAGCAGTTCAGGTGGCGGGGTGCGATGTCTGGGAGACAGCTACTACATGTCAGCCAATGTCAGCCAGTTTGAGCCACATGACATAGTGGTGATGGCCTACAACCACCATGTTGTCATTCACGCCCAGAAGGTAGGGGTGTGTGTGCTTAAAGCCAAATTTTCATGTCATTTATTCAGCTTCCCAAATGTGTGGATTTGTATCTCTGTTTTAAAAATTGTAAATTAAAAGTTGAATTGAATGATTTCCAACTCAGGGTCATTCAAGTCTGAGAGCTCTCTAGATAATTAAGGGGATTAAATAGAATATATATTTTGTTATTTGTTTATGTTATATTTCTGGATTTTCTCTAATTTCTGCCTTTTTCTTGTGAAATACTGGACACATACACCTCTTCTGGTCTCCAAAAATACTTTAAATGTAACATCATGTAACAATATCTCTGGTCAAAACTCATGTCCATTCTATTCAATTCAATGCGCCAAATCACAACAACAGTTATCTCACAGCGCTTTTCATAAAAGAGCAGGTCTAGACCGTACTTCTAGATATTCAGCCCTAAACTCTGATGAGCAGTGGTGGAAGAAGTATTCTGATCCTATAAAAATGACTATATACTACTATAAAATTTTAGTACAATAAAATTATTTAAAAAAACACTAGTAAAAAAGCCCTGCATTCAACGTTTTAATCAAGCAGAAAATATATGAATATATGAGTAAATATATGAATGGCGAATTCTTGAGTATTATGTTATTAGGTATGTAATACTACTCGATTATTATTACTTATGCATTAATAAGTTCAGAGCTTGATTGACAATGGGTCATAGTTAATCATGTATTTTGTAAGCAAAATCTGCAAAGTAACGAGTAAAGGTAGCTGTCACATGAAAGCGTAAAAAGTACAGTATTTGCCTCTGAAATGTAGTGAAAATTATTACGTAGGATAAAATAAAAATATTCAGATAAAGTACAAGAACCACAAAATTGTACTTAAGTACAGTAAATGTAATTAGTTACTTATTAGTTACCACTTATGATGAAGGGTCACAAGTAGACAATACTTAATTTCCCAAGGTCACAAGCCAAACAGGTCGGGAACCACTGAATCAATCAATAATGATATTTGACCAGCTGCAGCCCTACTGTACACAGCATTGCAGACAAGCTGCACGTTTAAAAGATCAGAAGAAGGAAGGAAAGCCTCTTCAGGGGCCAGCTGACAAATTGCCGAAAATCCACAACCGTCCAACTTGCCTTAAAGGCCTTTAATTGTGCATTCAGACCAAACGCGAATTTAATGTGGTTTAACGCTTTCCTCGCGGGGGTTTTATCGCTGGGCATCCCTGGAGTGTTAACACACAACGCGATACTGCGAATAAACACAACTCGCCATTACTACAGCTGTATGAACCCAAAGTAACATTTTGCTGTGATTAAATAGCAATAAACGGATCAAACTCATGCCGAAATAACGACAATATAATGCCGATTTGTTAAACATATGAATTCATGCTTTGTCAGGTCTGTCAGCAAGACAGCAGGACAACAACTTCTAAAATGTTTGTTTTCTGAATGGAGTTCAGATCGATCAGGGCTATGCTAACTTGGTCACAGTAAAGAACAATGATGGCTGGAATAAAGTTACATACACATGTGTTCTGAACTCACCAGGTAGTTCAACCTCCTCGCTTTCTTTTCTCCAAGTGATGTCCAGTTTTGTCCGGTTTTTATTTAAATATGAAGTAGTGCCAAACAACGCTAACAACACTGGAACCGGATGTGCACGGAATCTAGCTGCTGAGAAGCTCGAGTGAAGATAAATCAACGTTGTTATCCCAAAAACTGAAGTAAAAAGCTAATTTATTAAAAGCAGTTTACTCCGAGCTCCTCCCTCGAGCAAATGGCGCAGTTGTCAGAGCAGAATCCAGTCCAACCACAGGTGTCTATTTGTTTGAAAGTTGGAGCGCTGCTCCCTGCTCCTCTAACGCCAAGTTTAGCAGCTCTCAGCCGGCCTGGAGATTTTCAATCCCCCGCTCTGCCTGGCCCTCTCCACACAACACTCTGAAGCTGTTGGTGACGTACAGACAGTATCAACGTTGATAGGTTATCGCGACTCAACGTCATGCGAATTTCTTGCTTCAGTTGAAAATATTCAACTTATGCAAATTCCTTCGCTTCGCCTTTGCGTATCCACAACCGCCCCCTTCGCTTCGCCTTTGCGTCTCCATAACCGCCCCCTTCGCTTCGCGCCGCCCAACAGGAAATCGCGGCTCTACGCATCTTTGCATTGACTTTGTATGTAAACTCACCGCCCCGAACGCTCGCTTCGCTTTTGGTCTGAAAGCATCATAACAGACAAAAAATCTTCAGGGATAACCAGTTAATTTCCTTCCCTTTTCCCTAATTTTTCCCCCTTCTCTCCGCAAGCTGGGCAACACTGACCTCTTTGTCTTTCACTGGTTCTCACCCTTTTTTCTCACCCTTGCGCCTGTCTTGGCCCTGCTGCTCTTCTCACTTTCTCCTCCTGTCCTCCAGCACTCAATGACTTTTCTTTTCATTGTCTTTTCTTCCCTCGGTCTACCCCTTTACAACAGCATTCCCTCCTTCCACAGCTTCCTCTTTCTTTAACATTCTCCCTCTGTCCTTCAGGTACTGGATGATGGAAGCATCAGTGACACGTTCACCCATAAGTCCCTGTTCCCCAAGGATATGGACCCCCTCTCGGTCAGTGGGACCCTTAACCCCGATGGTACCCTGGTGGTCAGTGTCCGCCGGATCACCCCACCAGGTGGCCTGGAGCCACTGGGTGCTCCCACCTACCGCAGTGAAGCTCACCTTTGACCTCTGGCCTCATAGCAATTCGAACTGTATTTCCGCTACTGTTGAGTATTTGATTATACTGTAGTCTCATCAGTGTGGTGAAACTCTTATGAGGCGGATAATAGCATCAATAAGTATGTGAATGTATATGTAACCGTTTGGCCTACTTTTCTGTCCATCCATCCTGCATTTACTGGCCAGATTGCTATGACATGAAGTATTAGTATTCACAATCCTCAGAGGCTAATTCTTCATGATTATGGTAAGCCCCTGACCTTTTGTCTAGCACTATTGTCTGGTTAAAGTTTTTCCTTCATTGACATATTTGTGACAAAGTATCTCATCAAGTGACAATCTAACAGGCAGAATGTTGCAGAGGTCATATTATGCTCATTTTCAGGTTAAATTTAGGGGTTGTACCAGAACAGGTTTACGTGGTTTAATTTTCAAAAAACACCATATTCATCTGTTCATACTGCCCATTGCTGCAGCTCCTCTTTTCACCCTGTGTTGAAGGCTTCGTTTTAGCTACGGAGTGATACATCCTGTCTCTAAATGATCTTTGTTGGGAGTTGCACATGCGCAGTTCCTAGTTAAGGACTACTAGCCAATCAGAAGCAGAGAAGGGCGGGTCAGCGAAAAGCAAACAAGGCTTCGGTTCAGCTGTACATGTTGCGACCAGGGGTATGTTTCCCAAAAGCATTGTTGCTGACTATGGTAGCAACTTCCTTCCTGTTTCCCAAAGCCCTAGTTTGAACTACAGAGGTAACTGAGTTGGTAACTTACATGGTATGAACTAAGGGTGCTCCGATCGATCGGTCACCGATCATAATCGGCCGATAATGGCTTTAACTAGTTTGATCGGTGGTTGCTAAAAAGGCCGATAAGAAAATCAGATGATGCGATACTTGCCAGACAAATTTTCAACTGCAGCTAAAATGTTTCACTACGCTGTGAGCGGTTCTCAAAGCTAGCTAGCACCAAATTCCTTCTCAGACAAGAAGGGATTAATGCGCCCACATAATCATTTACAATGAGCAACAGGCAGGAGCGATCATGTGAAACTGTCGCAGCTGTGCTCATCTCACTCACAATCCACCCGCAACCGGAGTTTAACAGACGCATCAGGCAGAGAGAGACACTGATCCTTCAGTGTGAGTTTCCTGATGCAAAGAGCGGCACCACTCAATCAGCTGACTGTCTCTCTCTCTCGTGTTCTTTACAAAAACGGAGACCTTTTGCTACGTTTCCGCCTCCCGTCCAGATTAAAACGGTGATACAGTCTATGATCTGAAGATGTTTGTCTGAAAACGCTGCTGACCCGATGGACAAAACGGAGGACTATAAAACGATAACACACACTCACATTTGGCTTTGTGAGTCGGTCTTATCAGTCATGCAAAGCAAAACAGGATGCTACTTACAGAGTTTTAGTTTTGGTATTTTTATTAAAATATAAGTACTGTGTAAATAACACTTAACAGTTAGCCTACTGTGCATGTCGCTGTATTTCCCGCCGCCGTCTCTCGTACTTCCGTGTTACTTTCAGTAACAGTTCCAATTCGTTGTCGGTCAATGCAAAAAAAAAGAAAAAAGCCTGGTGTGGTTCTTGGTCTGTATTACTTTCTTCTTTCGCTAAATCGTCTGCTACGGCGGAGTACACCATCTGCTTCATGTTTACACTGGCACGCGCATGCGCAGTGTAGCTACCTGAACGGCCACTAGATGTGTGTTTTCAGTCGTTCTAATATGGACAGAGATCAACTCTGAAACGCTGCTGTGGACGGAGAAGATCGCTTTCGTTATAAAACTGTTTTAAAAACGTAGCAGTGTGGATGTAGCCTCACATTATCCCACTCCTCTTTCTACTCCTCTCATGTTTAACCTTTATGAAATCAAATAAAAACCTTGTTTGCTACTCTCCCTCTGGTAAAGTTGGTGGCAGCATGTAAGACATGTAGACTGTGCTTCCTGCACAAGGATAAAAAATGAAAACAATCCACTGAAATGATATAAGGCCTGTAGCCTACTGATGGCAAACCATATGAAATTATAATGAATATAGTTGCCTATGTAATATTAACAATTGACTGTATAATATGGAATTTACATTGTAGCCTATTTTTATTTATTTAAATTTTCCTTATTTTCAAATCTCACTGAAGGCAGTTATGACTCCTCTCTGTAGCCCTTCTCTCTGCTTCCTCTCTCTGCTTCCTCTCTCCCCCCTAAAGCCCACAGAACCTGCCTGAGCTTTCCAGAACAAAAAGCAGCTACTTCAGAGTTTATCATTGACTCATGATGCCCGTGCTCCTTTATCTCCTAAATATTTTGGCTACAGCCTTTTTTGTTGCAGTTTTTATGGTTGTAGTAAATTTATAAAGATGCTGTTTGTTCTGTTTTTGTAGTTTATTCCACAGTAAAGCTATATTTGTTAAGCTGTAAGATGTTTACAGTAACCAGGCAAAGGCTGCTATGGTTTAAGTCTCTAAGACAGATAGAGTGGAATTTGTTGGCCATGTTTCCTGGCAATAAAATAAACAGTTGTCGTTTCATGATACTTTGTCATCTTATAACTTTAAATACTTAATACATTGTTTTTAGGACCAATTAAATAAATATACAGTATACTGTATAATGCTACACGATAAATAAAAGGCTCCAAATAGACCCAGTGATCGGTGATCGGTATCGGCCGATACTGCTTTCAATCGGCCCAAAAAATCCTGATCGGAGCACCTCTAGTACGAACCATCGTTAAGCGACGCAGGTGTTCCCTGAAACCATAGTTCCGACGAACGTTCGCACCATCTGTCGTTAAGTTGCATAGTTCGAACTACAGCTCCTGACCTGTGGTTAGACGCTTAGTTCACAGTGACTACGTCACAGAGAGCAGAAAATGCAGTGTTAGGAGGTGGATGTGATGTGTTTTAAGCAGGGAATGTTAGATAATCCTGCTGTACAAACATATTTAAGGTGAAGGGTTTTTTTAAATGTAGTTATAAAAGGACTTTAAAATGTATTTGTCGGGTCATGGGTAGGGTTGCATTGATTCAGTACTAAGTATCTTAGTGTAGACCATCTACAAACAGCAGGTGTTTTTCTCACAGATTACCCATCTATTCACAATAACTTGATTTAATATTAGTCACCAGTACAAAGATTAAAGGACCAAACGGAGAATGTAAAGACATAACTTTTAATATTACCTTCATGTATACATTTGTAGGCCTCTGAGGACCATGGGTGTTCTTTAGTCTTCATTACAAACATAAATATAAAAAGGGACAGCATAAAATTCATTAATGTACCTTAATGAATGAATCCCTGAGAGCTTTCGTTGCTATTATAACAAAGATAAATTGAGAACTCAAGGGATTTGAACCCGTGTCGGTACATTCACATACTCAGCCACTTACTGCACTGAACTATTCTTAAGACCTTGATACCTTTTGCGGCCAAGGGAATCATAATAGTGTTAAATTGTTAACCTCAAGTTATAGCCGATATTTAGGCTAAGTAAAACGATTGGGTTATATATATTTATATTGTTGATTTCATTAACACTATTGTTGACTTTCTTGTTATTGCCGGTACGACTATAATAATAATAATAATAATAATAAAGCCTAAATAATAAGTTAGCACAATAATGTCACTTAATATCGGTCACAACTGACATATTTAGGCAGAATATGACAGCATTTTGTGAGTTTCCTGCTGTGAAAGTCAGACAAACACACCTGAAAACATGTTAGTTTGAACTATGTTTGTTCAAACTAAGTTAGTTCAAACCAATGATGGTACCAACAAAGTAGGACCGTTTTGGGAAACGATCGTACTTCAGTTTGTTAGTTTAACGATGGTTAAACTAACATCCGTGGTTGTTCGGGAAACGCACCCCAGCTGGACAACATAGACTGGAGCAAGAGTTTCAGAGTGGTGAGTTATTAATCTGTAACAAAAGTATCTTTCATCCATAAAGTTTTAACCAAGCTCTGTCTCCACATCACAGTAACAACTTTATGTCCACTGAGTGCCTGGAGGGGAGCTAGTGTTTGGAAGGGAGAGGAGAGGTGTGCTGCAGCTCACTGTTTTCCCACTGGTGTTTTTGAGGGCGTGTCGTTCTAGCCGCTTGGCGAGCATTATGTGCGCATTTTGCTTTCATCCATGTGTTGTCACAGGGATCACAGGGAATGGCTGGACTACAATCGAGCTGTTTTCAGGCAGTTCAGAGCAGAGGTTTCTGTGGGAGATGGGAACTCCCTTTGGGCTGGACCTTGGGCTTTTTCACTTTGCAAACCTATTACATGCACAAAAAAGGTATATATCTCAATAAATGAGAGGAAAAAAGCCAAAAACCATAATAGCACCTCTTTAAAAGATTAGCTGTCTGGAAACCTCATGATAAAGGCAAGACTTCAAGAAGTCTCTGCACTTTGACCTTTTTACACTTTTTGCTGCGGATTAAACAAACCAGATACAGTGGTGTTAAACAAATCAAACAAATTGTAAATAATAAAAACCTTCATTTAAAAACTGCATTTTGTGTTAGTGAGCTGTAAAGGTGCTGGTGGGTGGATTTTATTACCTTTAGACAGAACCAGGCTAGATGTTTCCAGTCTTTGTGCTAAGCTAATGGCTGCTAGCGATAGCCTCATATTTACTGTATGGACATGAGACTAACTAACTAAAAAACTAAAAGTTTTTTTAGAAGTAGAAATTAAAGGAGGTACTTTTTGGGAATCGCATCATTGCTATAACTTTTTTGATGACAAATATTTAGTATTATTGAAACTGTTTAATTATTAGATATAGTTATTTTTCTGTCCAATATCTACATTTAAAGTTCGTTTCATGTTGTGCATTATAGTGTCAAAACTGATGTAATATGAATGAAGATTTGTTTTATCGAAAAACAATAATGAGCATTTAATAAAACCTGAATAAAATAAATAGATCTTGTTCTTTGAAATAGTTGGTTTAATGTAAGCATTGCATCATTCCTAATTTAACCACAAAGTGCAGAGCAAAGATGAGCATCAGTTCAATTGGTCTGGTTGATTATCGGCGCAGATATTCAGCATATTTCTATTAATCTGCATCATTCATTTAAAAAACTGACAGCCCATATAAATAATGTGGGGTTTTTTTGTATTTTTTTTTAAATGCGCTCCTTAGGCTTTGATGCAGCCCTCTGTCTGCTGGGGCCCACAGTGTGTTGAGTACAATGTCCCGCCCACAGAACTAGCTGATTGGTTACAAGTCACAAATAATAGCCTATCAACACTGACTATTGTGCGTAGTAAGTATAGAACAAGTGAGCCACTACGCTGGAAACTTTAGTTTTGATGCTGCTCTGAAAACAGTTAGTAATTATAAAAAATGTGATAACAGTTCTGAA